GCTCCGAAGACATCGATGGTCAAACACTGAAAGTCTTTTGACGTCCTCGGCGCGCAGCGGCCAGGTTTCTGATCCATATAGTAATATGGAGCGCACCGCAGCATTATAAACTCGACCCTTGACAGAAAGGCTGATGTCACGCCTACGTCACAGGTGACGTAGGTTCGCAAAAGCCGCTCTGGCCTTCCCAATCCGGATGGAAATATCATCTTTTGCGAGACCACTGGGACTGATACAGCTGCCCAGGTAAACAAATTTGTCTACTACCTCAATCGGTTCATCCATAAACAAGAGGCTAGGGTTCGAGTCCATCCAGTCTTGCAGTAGCACTGTACACTTTGCAGGTGTGAAGCGCATGCCAAACCGTGAGACAGAATTATTTAGATTATTTAACAATACGACGGGGTCAGATCCAAGAATAGCTATGTCGTCCGCATACTCAATATCTGTGCGCGGACGCCCCGGGAGCACTTTGACTCCATAGGCATTAGAGTCTCGTAGTGAGTCTTCCATGATCGCATCATTAACGATTTTCCGGTGGTCTCTTCAAGAACTTTTGCCGGTTCGCGCACTTACCAAGGTGATAATCGTGGCAAAGCCTGAGTCCAACTGATACTGGACTTTGAGGACTTCTCACCAACGCCTGGGTGCAAGTCCGAGTTACATGATCAACGTATCTTACAACGTGAGCTCACATGGTTGAATCGGCCGATAGGTACCAACATGAATTTCGGAGTTCATGGAACCTCATTGTTAGAAATTGCCTGATTTTTTCGCGCAAATTTTTACTGACCAACAACTTCACTGCTACCGATCGCCTGAATGAGTAGTCTTCCTAAGCCCAAATGCTTCTCAGAAACTCGTTAATCGTCGAGCAGTACGATCCTGTCTGCTGACTGCAGTGACTAAATGGATCTCTATAGCAGCTTGTGTCTACATTCGTCAGGCTATCCTCTCTTCTCGCTTCTCTCTTTCGTGATCGATATCCTGGTTAAATAGCCCTCTCGAGGTTATAATGCTTCAGGACTGAACTACTCCTGTAGGTTTTTTGTAATGCACTACTCATAAGGTTGCTGAAAACTCTTCCACAGCCCACGACCGGTTTAGCCTTCCTCGGGGCTCATCAGTTAGGCGCAGTCCCTGAGATCCCGTCAATCTTATGTTCTACTTGAACCCAAATTGCACTGACTGCGGCAAATACACTCACTTGCTAATCAATTTGGTTTTCACGAGGGACTCAACTGAATCTCTCGTCTACGATATTCTACAACTGAAGGTGCTGCACACAGGCCGACTCATGTTTCACTTGGTACAATATTCGAGATATCGCAGTATATTTTCATGAAGGCGGTAGCCGCGAAAACAAAACTGGATGGGAAATTGTAGTGTACATGTTGTCGGCTAAGGTTGGGAAAGGATTTGTCACGTGGTTTCAGTGTTTGTGACGCGTGATCTAGTTAGTGGGTGACCTTCTAACGGGGAAGACAAGGAAGACCATCGTCCTTGATATGACGACGTTGACTGGTCCCTCCAGGACAGAATTTAGAGCACAGTATGATCTAATTAACATATTGTTAGAAAGGGAAATACGTAGAAAAAGTTTTATATGTTTGGTTTTTATTGCCTCCGAAGTACTGCATGTGTCTGCTGTGGACAGCTAGTTAAAAGAATGATTTTGAAGCCAGCAGGATTGGGGCTCCTGCTAGAAACAAAATTCCTGTGAGGACATGAACTTTTTCCTTCATTGTTTGAAAATTTCTTCCGACACTGTTAAAGTGTACGAATAAAAGTGTCTTTACGGAGTGTCTTGAAGTAAAACTGGAAATTGACTGAGATGAGTAGTTTGGGGGGTAATATGACAAATTTCGGAAGCTTCAGTTGAGGTTTCGTCTTGCAAGCGAAGCCAATCTACGCTGAGGAGCAGAGAACCCCTGCAAAGCTGGGGCTCAGCATCGGAGTGTGTCGTACAAAACTTAAGAGAATTTGTGACCCACGACCTCCAGGCTAGTACTTTGAACAATTGACCGTTCGATCATGAACAGCTGATTAGCACCGTAGTTAACTAGCACTTGGACAAGACATTTCGCCACTCACCCTTCAACAACAAGGACCAAATCGCATGATCATGTGTTGACTGGCTCCTTAAGTGAAGAATTTTAAAATGGAAGGTTCACTCGTCTCCACTTAGAGCCACTTATTATTTGTCGGCTGTGTAAAGAGATTTGGGAATTTCTGGTAGACATTTCTTGCCTAAGTAAGGGCTAACCAAACTGGTGCTCAACCGCTCGTGACCGAACGGTAGTGTTCAAACTGCAAGCAGGGGTCGCCATTTCAAGACTCGTGGGACACACACTGGTGAAAGTTCACAACAAAGATGAAGCGGCTGTTTAGTAGTTCTCCGCATTTCGGCATTAGCTGGATTCACTGAAATTGCCGATTCCCCTCACGCCACCAATAACTATCATTTCGCTCGGCGTTTCCAGCTATCAGGAAGGTCAGATTACTGAAGGTAAACCCAGAATGCCCGGAACCTACTGAGACCCTAAAACTCCACAAAAATCTCCATAGGAAAGCCGACAAAAATCCAGGCCAGTCAATCAATTAATCAATTCAGCAGAGGCCGATGAGTGTTCATGCACGCCACAGAAGCGCGGCCGAATGTGATCAGCATTCAGCCATTTCACAGAAACACGATTGATGTTGATGAGTGTTCACCAAACGCCGATCAGGCAGCCTGGACCAATGTCAGAAAGCCCCCTTTAAATAGCGTGGGGCTGTTGTAACTTTTGCTCTCGCACTCGCACGCACTCACGCTCTCGCACTCGCTTGTTCGGAATAAAGCTGTTGTGTTCCCTTCTGTGAGTCTTTTTCTCCGGCACTAGGTACTGGAGCGAGTCAGCAGCAGGTACCACAGATTGGCAAATCTGCAGATATAACACTAGCAAACACTACACGTTTTTAACGAAAGGTTATTTCACATCACTCTCTAAAACTTGAAAAATCATATGGTGATTCTCCCCATACAATCGATTTTCTATTCCTAGAGTGTATTCGTTCTACGCTATCGTTCCTTCAATGTTTTCTAGCGCTTATTCCATTCACCTCCTCCCATCCTCAGCTTCGACTCCGTCTACAGGGTGATTCACAAGGAAGGCAGGATCAGAAAATGCAGATCCCCATCACAGTTGGCTCCGATCCAACCCGTGAGACATCGTTTACTGGATGCAGCGAAGGTGAGTGGTAGCCTTGTTACTAATAATCATTCACAAAACTAGAGTGCAGCCTCTTCTCTAGCCAGTCCGAACCAGGGTTCCACCTGATTATCGGACAGAAGCAAAAATGTGAATTTAGGTGTGGTGCGAATTTTCGGCAATGAACCTCCCATTTAGACTATCCCTCCCTCTGAAGCGGTCTAGTTAGCCCAGTTGGACCTCATCAGTACCACGTACATGTCCTTGACTGCACAGGTGTTAGAACCCCGGAGGTCCCGGCAAGACAACCAGGAAATATGCTGGTTATGTCAAGAAAATGAAGCTCTTATCAGGACCTGGTTCAGGTATTGTTTTAAATGTACCAAACAGCTCCCTCATGAGCATTTTCTCAAGAACCTCAATGGACCCTTTGACAAAGCAAAATAGCCTCGCCAGGAAAGGACAGGGAATCCCAAATTTACAGTCGTGTGGAGATCAACTTCACAAGCCCCGCCACTACTCACCAGTAATATGGAGTTTATTACATGACAAAAGTCAAACACGGTCGGATCACTGGATGGCTGTTTGAGACTTAGCACAAATGTGCATCTCACGAATCTAGGGGATGTATCGAATCCGCAACCGGGGGGTCTGGACGTTCGACTATGCGGTGACGAAAAGCCAGTGTGCTTAATCCATGTTCAAACAACGTTTTCAAGAAAGAACCACACCGTCCTTGATGTTCACCACGATCACATAAACTGGATTGGCAACTTTATCCACTTAAAGTCCAAGAACGTCCCGAAGTTTCCATTCAGGTTGCACGTATCCGCGAGGGGGGGGGGATCAATTCAGAACTGAGCTCACGCTCACTGCAATCTCTTCAGTAGATCACTGATACTATACTTATACTATACGTTTCCATCCAATCATAGAGACCCACCAGTAGATCAGTGTCCCTAACCAGCCTTATTGCAGTTTGCAATGCTTTTGACAAGGGCCTTTTAGATTTCGACAATCTCGTTTTCTCGCTGTAATTTTTAACCATTCTGGTGATTGAAAGCGAGATGGTAAGAGCGTGCAGGTTTACACAGAAGCGGCTGCCAGTTCACATGCGGTTTTTCTTCCTGTCTACTGCACTTCGTTCTTGTTTGCAGCGTCACTGTTCCTCTATTTTTTTTAGCTTATTCATACTTGTCATCCATCGAGTTTGGGGCCCTAGCTTAGTTTAGCTTACTGCTTGACGTTCACAACACGGTGCCGAGAAACAGCGTTTGGTAGCAGAGAGAACTACGACAGCTGTTCCTATTATGTCAACGTCACTGTTGACCGGGTAGTGAAAAATCCCACAGGAAAACAAAAAGTTCTCGAATTTAGAAATGGTCAGAAGCACACGCGCGCGGAGATTTCGCTGGCCAGTACGGTACGCATCTGCCACGACAAAGTTACGGAACCATTCGGTTTCTCAAATAGAAAGAGAAACTTTACCGAATTCCTTTGAATTCTGTCGGAGACAACTTTAAACACGTTCCGGAATGTTTCCTTTCACAGACTTGTTGTGACCGGGTTAAAAACGATTATTGTTTTGCGCTGCGCCGAGCCAAGTTCTTTCAGTCAAACGAATAAGGAACTGAATAATCAAGCGACTGAAGCCTATTTCAGAAGGTGCATCTACTTGGCGACTGCCAACAGTGCCTTGCCCGTTTGCTCAAAAGGATTACTTTGCGAAACGGATGCTTCGGGCTTGCGTAAACTCCCGGTCTCAGACAGGAAAACGAATAATACTATTCAAGACGAATTTGTTTCTAAGATCCTTAGAATGTGTACGTCGCTTGGATCTCAGTGGAGGAGCGCAACCGCCTGAACTCATGGAGGTCTCAAGCGTTCCGACGTCCACTATCTCCAGTTCTGGTCAGTGAGTTTGTCGGACATTCCGGATTGTTCAGAGTAAAGTGGTTGTCTGTGGACATTGTTGTACAGAACATCGGTTAGCTCCAGTTAGGTGTACATATTCGGCTTGAGTGATGCGGGCCAACAGACCATCACCACTTTGCGTCTAAACTGTCCAGCTATGCACACATCATTTGAGCCAAAAGTGTGACATGCGTCTAGCATTGGAAATGCTTTCCGCCAGTTCTACTCCCTCGAGCCACAGGGCGTTCAGCTGATTGCAAAAAAAAGGGGAAAAAATCAAATGTCCACGTCCGATAGTTTCGGTGCAGCGCGTTCAGTTATCATCGATTCCCAAGGAACAAACTGTGTGTTCTCAGTTGAGTCAGTCCATGCTGGAAAGCTGAGATGCACTAAACATCCTTTTTATGCTTATTGCAAATTATCAGTAGTGTGAATTGCGTGAAACTCCCGAGAGTTTCGGACCCACAACCTCCCGGCTAGCTGACTGAACTGCTGATGTGTTCAACATTTTAACTGAGAATTCTCGAACTTTCTCATACTGCTGAATGTCTGTCAGTAGCACGGGGGAAGAACTTCCATCTGAGGAGTCGCCTTTCGAGAAGCCAGTCAACACTTGTGGCCGGTTGACGTGATTTCCAGCAGCTGAATGATACCTGGCGCTTTATCCTGTCTAAGTGTGCGAGTTAATCACACTGCTGATCAACCGCTCGCGGCCGAATGCTTAAGTGTCCAACTAGCAGCAAAGAGGTCGATGGTTCGGAACTTCCTGAATTTCTCGGGATCCGTGCTGCTTATGATTCCCATTAAATAATAATATAATAATTGTTCAGATGTGGCACCCTTTCAATGCCTAGCTGCTATGTCACCCGAAGGTTGTACGAGGCCTGGGGTACCGCCAGTTTGCCCAAGCCTAGACAGGGGAGTCGAGAAGAGGAGATCAGGTTCGAACCACAGACCTCCTGATCAGTAAATCCATGCCCAATAAAGACGAAACTGGGTCCTCGTTCGATCACAATCACCAATCACATCGCTCAAGTGCGAAAACCTCTGCCTCTTCAGACGTGAAAATTCAGATGCATCCAACGTGCGTTGGTGGAGTAGTGGTTACACGCTCGTCTCGCCCGTCAGATGTCCGGAGTTCAAATCCCGGCACGGCCATTGGACATGCACTACTGATGAGCTCTAATAAGAGCGAAACACGAGTCCAGTGCTTTCCTTTGGCGTGAACTCACCGGAATAATTACGCTAGAATAGGGGCACGGCTATTCAAACGAGAGTGGTGTGAAAATTAACAAATTACCTATCCCACAAAATTGCAAAGATGAGACAGCTTCACAGCTCTTCCTGGATCTTCAGTAGAGATTGGCTTCACTTACTGGAATGAATCTCCATCGAAAATCATTGAACCTTGTCAATGTACCACGTGATGACTGCGCGGAAATTCCCAACTTAGCGAGTAGACTATGGGCTCTTCATCTGACCTGTCTGAACAGAGAATCGGGTTGGATGACTGCGATAAGTTTGAGGAAACCACTCGTTCTAGAGTAGTGGGGGACACAAACGCCATACTTGAATGTTAGTTTGGTGAATCTGTCTCTGATTTCATGCATCGAGGAAAGTCTGAAAGATTTCAAGTGTCTTTTTTTCCTAAATTTTCTCCATTTTTCCTCCTTGTAGTGGTTCCATGCTATGCATCGTTTAACTATGCTTCAGGAGAGGTCATCGAATACGATCCGTCCACGAGTTCAGCCGGTAAAGCCGGTCACCTACGTCCAGTCTATCGGTATTTCAAGCCGCGTTCCACAAAACGCAATGATCTCAGGTCTAGTACCGAGACAATCGGACAATTGTCACGTACACCCTCGAAATCGAACGACCCCAGGTACTTCAAAAGTCAGTCACCCTCTACTGGTCAAAGAGGTCTACAGATCAGAAAGGAGACCAACACATCAGAATCTCCCCCGTTTGTTTCTGAATCTCCAATGCGGTTTTCGGTTGTGGAAAACCCTCATGCTAACGATGGTTTCGTGACTGAGGCGTTCGACAGAGTCAGGAGTAATAGTCAACAGTCGCCCTCGTATGAATACTACTCAGACGATGTATCTCCTGAGACAAATGACGCCTATGACTCTCCCCCGACACCACTGCTCTCAGGACACCTGTTTTTTGATGATGGCAATGAAGAACACACGGATCTCCATTGTGCCACTGTTGCCGGTACAACATCCCCGTATTCTCGGCTACGCCCGCACAACGAACGAAATCAGATACAGATTCCGGTGCCCCAGAACGTGTGCAGTTCCTCCAGAATCCGATCATCCAGTTTAGGCCGACAGTTTTCATTCAACTACGATTCGGATAACACGGCCTCGGAGAGCGAGATAAGACGCGGCCGTGTTGCGGACACTACGGGATTGCGTCCGTCCGCCCACACTGCACACTACAACGGCACGTATTCCCCGAATCAATCCACACACAGTGATTCGGAAACCCTGTCAGATCAGCAAATTTTTATCAGTGCCAATTCAAAAGCCGTTGTAAACACAAATGGACGAGAGCGCTTTCCTCCCGTTCTCCTATCAAGCCACACGGAGAGAAATTTGTCCGTCGAACATCTAAATCAACAATCATCTGGCAGGAGAATTCCAAAAAAAGTTGGTAACTTTGACCAACTTTTGCAACAGATTCCAACACTCGATTCCGACATGCAACAACATGTGCTAACCCACTCAGAGCTGATTAGGAATAACTCAAACAGCCCTGCAGTACCTCAAAGACAAGCGAACACTCGTCTTCATGATGCCTATTGGAACCGTCCACGTGTGGCACCGGTGCGTGGTCGTAACACCCAAGGAATTTGGACACCTGGTCATGTTCCCAGCCAACCGCCGGCTTCCGCCACGGTTCCGGTCATTCAATCTCAGGCTTACGATACGGACCCCAGCCCCACAAGGCAATTACCACCAGAATCGTTCCACAAAAAGAAGACCCTATCTGAAAATACACTGCGTCTTAGTCTAACTCACACGGAATTCACTTCCCCCCATCGTTCGCTGGACAAGGAAACATTCATATTAGAAAATGTGTAAAGAGAACAAAAACAAAAACACGTTGTCATTCATAGATAGTGTGTCTGACGTCCAGTGGACAGACAGACCAGCGTTTAGAAAAGACCATTGTCTGAGCAAGATTCCAAATTCTCCCCATTTCCCATTGCATTTTTCTTTTCTAGATGTTTGCACTGATCTTTTTTTTCTATTGTGGAATCTAACCTATATAGATACTGTGAATATCGAACACTGATTCCCCACCCGCATTTGTTGTAAAATTTTCTCCTCTCGCTATTACGAATGCCTTTGTTTTCCGGGGGGGGGGGGCGTATTTCCACCGTCTCCTGAGGATGTGGGCAGACGGTGTTGCAGACTCAGTCCGTATACACGCACACACGTTTGGAATCACAACGAGTATATAAATAGGCGAATCCCAGTTTGGTTCTGACTACCTACCTGAATGAATTGAGATGATTTTGTCTGCTCAACCTCACACACACACACACACACAAAGAGAAGCGTCACATGCCTTAAGCAGTCAATCAAACAGCCTGTCAGTCCACCGGTTGGCGGGAAGCAGTGCCTACCGCCAATCAATCAATCTGTTCTATGCATGTGCCACGGTATGTTTGTTGATTTGATTTTGCTCGCCACGTTCCAATCACTCCTTTCTCCCTCCCCCCGGGGCTAGCTACTTGAGAGTGTGTCCCACTTTGTTGACCCTCTGGTTCAGCTCAAGTGCCAGGAAGACGGAAAATTCGATGCAAGGCAGAGTCGGTCTGTGATGGAGAGAGGCGGGCGGAGAAACTCGTGACATGCCTTAAGCAGTCAATCAAACAGCCTGTCAGTCCACCGGTTGGCGGGAAGCAGTGCCTACCGCCAATCAATCAATCTGTTCTATGCATGTGCCACGGTATGTTTGTTGATTTGATTTTGCTCGCCACGTTCCAATCACTCCTTTCTCCCTCCCCCCGGGGCTAGCTACTTGAGAGTGTGTCCCACTTTGTTGACCCTCTGGTTCAGCTCAAGTGCCAGGAAGACGGAAAATTCGATGCAAGGCAGAGTCGGTCTGTGATGGAGAGAGGCGGGATGAGACATCTTCTCGTGTTTGCCTGTTCACTTGTCTGTCTAACCGTGTGACTACTTATCTGCTCGACTACTACTCATTCAGAACCACAATAGTTCAAGTATTCTGCATACACCAGCCGCAAAACGAATCGATATGGTGAGAGTGTTCTTCATGGTCAGCATGTTGCACAAAAAAGATCGTCGAAGTTTGTTTGCCGAGTTTGGGACGTGTGGAAATAAATACCAATTGTCGTTCAGCCGTAAAAGCCGTGCCTGGATGCCACGTTACCCGGAACACAAGTGTGGGCACTGAGATGCTAGACTGGAACAGTCGAGCCACAGCCCCCTGACTACTGAGCCAACTTGAGCTCGCAGACGGTGCAGGGCTAGTTCGCTTTCCAAACAGTATGCTGGGCAAGGTGAATTTAGGATGACCTTGAAATTTTTTGGGAAATTAAGACAACTGCCCGTGCGTGTCTGAAGGCCTATCGCATTTTTCTAAAAGACACCCCCAGACTATCATCCAGCTGTGCCCTTGTCATCCAGGCTGGTGGGGAAAGACGTAAAGCGCCGGCAGTTACCGTTTTCTTCTCAGTATAATTAGACCGCTGGAGATGGAACGACTCATATGACAGTTTCTGTCACATGATCTGCTGACTACAATTGCCCCATGACTGAGAAAGCGCATTGGATGGTTAGAAGTTAGTCCTAGCAACGGCTAATTTGATGCTAAGTTGTTCTGCTGCCAAAGGTTGATTTTTGCTGAGGTTCAGGAATAATAAAGTATTTCAAATATGCGTAAAGTGAGTCCAAATTGGGACCTTCCAGGGACTCTATCAACTGCAGCTGATGGCTTCATAGACATGTTGAAGTTGTCGGTTCCTTTCACCTGGCCATCACTGTTTCGGTAGCCTAGTCAGTCGTTTCACAAACAGTTTTTTTTCGACAGAAGCCTTCGATTGGACTCAAATGAAATGAGAGTTGACACGAGAGTTTTGTGCTGTTGGTCTTCTTGTGATGGACACTGAACAGAGTCCCTCCATCGTATTCATTGAGCCCAGCCGCTTCAACTATCTTGGAGTTAGTCTCTTCTGTACCTTCACATAACCAAAAAAGCTCTCTTCTGGAAAAAAGCTTTGGCGTTTTCGTCAGCCACACAAGGTTGTTTGTCCTTGCATGTTCCGTGTTTGTCTACAACTTGCCTCCTGGTCTACTTATGAAGGACTTATTCACGAGAGCTGGGACCCATTTCATGGACAGGTCTTATCGATATCTCCACGTTTGTATGTCGCAGCTGGCTCCCAGCTGCATTTTACGCGTACGTACTGATGTGTTTTCCCACTTGGACCTCGGGTCAGCAAAGTCTTGACCTGCAAATAAAGGAAGACATATGCAGCGTCTCGTCCAGCTGTTCACGTGTGCGACGAGCGGTCACAGTTTAGAAACCCTGACCACACCATCAGAAAGACTTTTAAGCCCGAAATTGCTGTGCGGAGAACCTGCGAATTGGATCCGTTTAACTCTGCACCCAAGCTACCTCATTGGTCACGTGAAAAGCCCTGCTCCTCAGAACACGGCTATGTTTGGCTGCGTCCGAAGATCTGTTAAGTGAATCAGGCCAGTATTGGTGGCTTGTATGGAGAGAGGATCAAATGTGGGAGTTTCAAGCATCAAGGTCATCTCTCTCTTATTATCGATCACGAGTGATGTTCACCGTTACCGCAGCTTAATTCAGTCAAGTCACGAACGCTACGTGGTTCATCATTCCAATAGCTTGAATAGTGAAAGTGAATTCTTCATCTAGATGTAAGTCGGTTAATTCTTCACCTAGATGTAAGTCGGTTTCCGCGCATTACTATTAGAGTAGATCGCCTCTAAAATACAGCTTCAATTTTCATAAAGGAAACTACTCACAAGGTTGCTGAAAACTCATCGACAGCCCACGACCGGTTTCCCCCTTCTTGGGGCTCATCAGGTAGACGCAGTTCGTTTGATTTCCCTACTTGAACCCAAATTGCACTGTTTTCGAGAAATACACTCAATTGCAAATCAATTTGGTTTTCACGAGAGACTCAACTGAATACAGCTTCAATTGTTTTCGCATTCGTTTGTCTTTTTCCATTCGCGCAGTATGTTGCGTGCTTCCTAGTTCAAGATCTCTCCAGACTTCCTACCGTACCAAAACTTTTTTCATAAAGGGAACTACTCACAAGATTGCTCAGTCTTTCGTGAAAACCAAACTGATTTGCAAATGAATGTATTTCTCGAAAACAATCCAATTTGGTTTCAAGTAGAACATAAAGAAACTCGGGGACTGCGCCTAACTGAAGAGCCCCAAGAAGGGCGAAACCGGTCGTGGGCTGTCGAAGAGTTTTCAGCAACCTTGTGAGTAGTTTCCTTTATGAAAATGTACTGCGATATCTCGAATGTCGTACCAACTGAAACACGAAACGGCCTTTGTGCAGCATATTCAGTTTGAGAACACTGTTAAGGAGAGATTTACTTGAGTCTCCCGTGAAGGCAAATTGATTTGCAAATTAGTGTATTTGTTCCATCGAAGTTCTTTTTTACCTGACAAAATATACTACTCACAGTTTGATGAAAACTCTTCGATAGCCCATGTCCGGTTTCGTCTTTCTATAGCTCATCTGATAAATGAACTCAAATCGAACAAAAATCTCACAACCAAATTGTGTCTTAATGGAATTTTTCGGCAGTTTTGATTTTGTTTTTGACAGTGTCCTTTACAGACATCTTGATGACACTTCAGGGTGTGCTTGAGAAACTGTTTTTGTGAAAACATTAGTGAAATCTCCGTTCACGGACGTTCTGTTGACGATATCTCAATTTTTACCTGTCCATCACATTTCCTACGATTATTCGGTGAGTTTACCTCCCTGCCCCTAACCTTACTCTGTCTTACAAAGAAGCATCTGTCGTGTCCCCAGGCGCCCTGATGACACATCGAAGCGTTCGGGCCACAGAAAACCAAGGTGGACCGGTCAGCACCTGCAATTTTTGGGTTTTTGTCAATGGCATCCAAAACTGGGTTTACTAAACCTTCTCGTACAGCGCCAAAAATTTTTTTCAAGGGATTCACAAAAACAAGGAAAAGAATTACCTGATGAAACACTAGTTTTTGACGGGTCAGTCAACGCGCACCAAAAACATGTTCCTTCGAATGGGTTACAGCATTAACTGTAAACTCAACGCTTTGTTCAACAAATTATAGCTTGGCGTTCGTGGGTTGCTCACCTCTGTTTGACCGTATCGACTTGGGACTGACTGACTTAGGACACCATGAGCTCAGTCTGCCGTGAATTTCGTCATCACTCTCAGCCGCGGTGATACCTGCAAAGATGGGACAGGACGTCGCCTGGTTCAACGAGCTCCCGATCACATCCCACCATAGATGAGCACATAAACGGTACAGCAGAGTCACGCCACCAAACCTGAGACAATTAACCACTTGTCGAACACTTATGGTTGACATCAAAGCAACGTTCGTCACATTCCGTTTCAGGGTTGAAACGACACTCTCTAAACCCTTGGTTATTGAGAGGCAACAACTCCTATTACATGCATGGCAGATTTCAACTCAATCCATTCGGTTACCTTGACATCGTTCATTAGATTTTCTACCTTTGTGATCCGTACCGAACAAGTTCCATCCACTTAAATCGCTATACGGCAGAGGTGATTAGAAAACGGGTATTTGGTTGTTCTGCAGGCACCTCAATCCGAGAAAACATCCAGCATCATCGACTGCGACCGCTCGGTCCGTCTACCGAGACGAGTGTTGTTCTCCGTGCCTCCCTCAGGATGGCGAAAACCGCAAGGTGGACAGCGCATGACTTGACAGAAAGGCGTGAAAGAGATCACGAAGAGTTTGGGTGTTATTGGTGTTGTACGCCTTCCGGGATGGGGTCCCCGTGACCCCGTCTGTGCTTGGCTGGAGACGTTGCAAGAAA